AAGGGACATTCTTTATAAAGAAGTTATTTTTTAAACTTGTTATGTATTATAGAAGTCTTTATTTAACTTAGAGCAGTTATTTATAAAAGACTTATGAGAAATAACTACACATTGCCAAAAATTTGCACCATTTCAAATATAGTCATAAAGGAAACTGCCTTGTAGACTTCTCCCCTATTCTGTATTTGCCTACCCTGTGTTACTATAAAGGGTGTTACCATTTAAGCACTAAAGTTTTAAGCTGGGATTCATTAAATCAGAGTACTTAATTTTAATCTAATGCTTACAGAAAGAAATCATTGTATTTTCATTGAGTGCTTTCATGTTTAATAGGAAGTCTATTTTCTTCCAAATTGTATAAAATCAATGCAAGATATTTTCCACATTAGAAAAATAACCATACATTGTTTATTAAACATCAAAAAGAACAGAACCCAAATTAATTACCTGTCAAAAAAGTGAGAAGTGTCATTCAACATGGAAGATTTATGCTTACAAAATGCAATTATTTTCAAGTAGATACTGTTATTTTTTGAAGTGATACAATTCGATAATATAATTAAATAAAAAGTAAGTTAAGCCGCAAGTTGTAACATTACCATTATGAATTACCATTTAATATTTACATGTAAATTTACAGGTGAAATGTTCAAATATAATTACTTGGGAATTTTACCTGTTCATTTTGGTTATTTTTGGGTGTCATAAAATATGAAAGAACTAACTTTTCATTCTGATAAGGTATAGGTAGTAGTGGGATCCAGTTTTTGGTGTTCTAACAAGGCACCATCTGTGTCTTACAAGAGGTATAAAGTTCTAATAAGATTTTTCTGCAGGTGGCACCAAACACATCAACCTAAGGTCAGATAAACCTTAAAAAAATACAGTCATATTTCTAGAAAGCTCAGCCAGAATGGAAATAAATGCAAATGTATTCTTTAATTATAATCAGTTTTTCAGTTTAAAAAAAGGTGAATATATAAGTGCATTATTTAAAGAAAATTCCATTTCAAAAAATTCATTTGGATTGGGAGCCATAATTTGTACATCTGTTTTTCACAAAGGATGGTTTTCAAATAGATATGAGTTCCTAGTTTCTGTAAGAGAATAGACTTGATATAGGGTCTTTTGGGTTACACTCCACCTGGTACATAAGATTAGGATGAATTGCTATATTAAAACTTTAGATATGGAGGGGAAATAGGAAGCACTGACTCTTTTTGACTATGACCCCCAGTCCAGACAGGACAGGACAGACCATGAGCTGGCAACCTAGAGCCAGTGCATGAACTCTGGTCCACTGCCTGTTTTGTAAGTGGAGTTTTAGTGGAATACAACCACATTTGAAGAGTTGTCTATTGCTGCTGTTGTGCTCCAATAGCAGACTTATGTAGGTACCACAACAAAGATCTGGCCTGCAAAGCCTAAAATATTTACTATTTGGTTCTGTACAAAAACTGCTTAAATCTGATCTTGTTCACCAGGGTTCAATACAAATAAAGAGCAAATCACAAGTCAGGTTTATAATTTTAAATTGACATATTAAAAAAAGGAAATGGGTGAATTGACTTTAAAAATATGTTTTATTTAACCTTACATATGATAAATATAACCATTTTAACATGTGGTGCTGGCTGGCCATAGTTCAAGTGCTCAACAGCCACATGTGCTTAATGGCCACCACATTAGGCAAAGCTCTAAATAAGCAACCAGGGGAGCTGAGACCCACTCTAGAGATAAAGTCAGCTCAGCAGAAGGCATTCCCAGGACATTACAATGGGCCTAAAATGTGGCAGTTAACATAATCCTTCTTTTCCTTTTACTCACTTTTCAGGCAAAAAAAAAAATGCAGAATTTAGGAATTCAAAAACCAACCAATCCCAGACAAAAAGGCCTTTTTTCCTTGAAATACAAGAAAGCTACAAAAATTTCTGCCATGTAGAAATGATATTAACAAGGATGTTTATTCCCTACTTTGAAGTTAAATTCCTCCCACTGCAAGTTATACAGGTTCTATCTTGTTTTATCCTCGGCAGTATCTAAGAAAAGCAGCTTCCCATCACTAATATGATATCGTATTCCATTAAATCCTTTAAGACTCTGAACAACCTCTCCTATCTCAAAGATTTTTCTTTGTCTAGCTGCACAAATTCAACTTCTCTAACATTTCAGATTGGACCAATTTTCAAAGTGTTTTTTTTTTTTTTTTAATTTTTTATTGTATTTACTGTTTTCTTTTAAACCTCTCCCCAAATCTTAAGCACTCTTTAAATGAAGGAAGAAAAACTGAATATGACATTCTCTAAATGTCCTAATGTTGCCAAACAAAAATCAATCGTTCACTCACGTGTTTGACATGCTATTCTTTTGTTTCATTAGTTCGACCTATTATTAGAGTATTTTACTTGTATTTCACTAAAACACACACACACACACAAATCCTGAAATATAAAGTAAGCTTAGACACCCAGAATTTCATGGGCTTACTATATTTCCACCTATAAAATGAGCGTGATGTAAATCCTCTTTTTGGAAGTTGATTTTTTTCTTCTGAAAATTATGCAAGCATTTTGCTATGTGAATAACAAGGAGAACAGGGTACTTAAAAGCACCTTTGAATTTCATACTTATCAAAGTTGTAAATTAAAGAAGATTAAGATAAAACAATCTAAACAGTCTTAACTCTAAGAAGATGAACTGTTAAAAGAACAAATTAATGATAGGTAACGAAGATACCTAGTACATAACTGGAAAAGATATAACTTAGAAAACAAATAAAAATATCTGTAGTTAACATTACACACAGTAACAACAGAAGTATAGATGTAGAACAAAGGAGGTGACAGTCCTGTTGAATTCAGTTCCTCTCCAATTATAAAGAATAAAGGTTGGAAACTATAGTCATCTAAGGTAAAGGGCATCAGTTAGAAAATAAAGTTGAAATCAGCCTATGAGTAGAAGACAATGACTCTGGCATTTTATTGCTTCCTGAAGTCAAGAAAGATAAGAAAGTTACAAATTACATTTAAAAAATGAAATTTATATATACTATTATTTCTACCTAAAGGGTAGCTCTGAGGTTCTCCAAGAAACTGAAAGAAATAGCAATCAGTTTACCTTCTGGGAATTAAACTAGTAAAATTGGCACTTGAATGAGATTTCCTCCCACAGATCTTAAGCATCTGAAACACACAGGTCAAGAGACATTCAGCTCTCCCCAACCATTCCTGCAGCCTTCGCACTGACACACAGTCTACTGAGAGCAACAAGGCAGCCTCCAGACAGGAATGTGTGTCCTTCAGCTGCCCTCACTGGCTGCACTTTATTTACCCCAACCTTATATGTGTGATTCAATTTCCCACCTTATGTTCAGTTGTGAATGTTAAAAGTTTCATTGTATCGATGCAATTTTCCTTTAAAAATAACTCCTTTTAAGTTAGAAATAAAAAAAAAAAACAGATTCTGACAACCTAAAATAAATGACTAAATAAGAAAAGGGGGAAAAAAAAAACTGTTACATAAGTACTGAACTTAGCATCTGAAGGAAGAAGGTATAAACAAAATAGGTTAGTCTAAATAAAATAGTAAGAAGAGAAATACAATCTTTGGGAATTTTTCATTGTATATCAGTCTTGACCAAGGAATATAGTAGCATGATGGGCTGAAAGAGTTGGCTGTATTTGACTCAGAGCTCAGTGAACCCTATGGCTCTGACTTCATGTTCATCAATGTGCCTTTATGGTAATTGGTGCTGTTCCAGTCTCTGTGTTAGAGGATGGACAGAATTCCAGTTGTATTGGCAATTGTAAAATGAGTGTTTTTCTTGTTTATATATTCATTTTTAGGTGTTTGGTTATGTTACACAGTTCTTAAATTCTGACTCAGTTGACAAATTCTGGACTCTGATAAAATCTAAATCAGGTCTCTAAATCTAAAAGTGTGAAGATTATGTGCTAGGACCCTGTTACTAGCTCTGCTTCTCTGAGACAGGGCTTGGACAGCCACTTGGCCTTTCTTGATGATAACACATCCTTTACCACTAACTATATATGTACACATGAGATAAAAGATGGTCTTATTCAAAGTTGTTATTAATGGTATTTGAATACCATTAAAATAATGGAAAATAACTAATATGTCATTCATCAGCTAAATCTTGACTTAGAAATCCTGTTTCCAACATGTCCTTTAAATAATTTTAATGAAAAAAACTAAGGTTAATAGATGAAACATAAAAAACAACCATACATTAAGCCATAAGAAAACAATAAAGCATGATGCAGCCATTAACAAATAAAATTTACATATATTAGATAACATTATGAAAATATGTTTACGTGAAAAGATACATTAGATATGTGCATATAAATGCCATAGTTAAAACATGCTGAGGAGATAACTCAATGAAGTAAAGAAGAAAAGATGGAAAACAATCTCTTAAATAAAATGACAATATCATGTTTAAAAGTGAAAAACAATCAAGGTAGTACAAATTTCTGGTTTATGAGAGTAAATGCAAATTCTATCATTGTTTATTAACTAAGGCTTGGAATCCTAAAGAGGTGGGGATCCCATAGATGCTGAGTATATCAAAAGCATTGTCCATGCAATGATTTAGTTGATAACTTCTTGTTTATTTGCAAATATATGTTTAAAAGAGGTCAAATAAGCTCAATTGAAAATTAAATTGGACACACACTACAGAATGTAACTTTTCCTCCTCTTTGAAAACCATGTAGAATTTGATTTAAATTTTGATAAGCCAGAAACCTATTGTGTCAAAAATAATGCCATAGCAAGGATAATATTCACTCAAAAACTGTCCTAATTCACCCAAGATCACTTAGCAGATTCAATCATCTCTTAGTTCCTATTTAGATTCAATTATCTCTTAGTTCCTATTTTTGTGGCTTAAGTGCCACCATGTATTTATGAATGCATATTACTTCTTACTCAAGTTGATAATGTTCTTGGTGAGCAGCAACTTGATTTGAACTTACCTTACATGAAGACTCCACCTGCAGACCAGGGCAAGGTATTGGCCCAAGCTGGTGGGAGCTGGAGGATCTCTGTTCTATACTTTTGTGCTTATGTGTCTCTGAGGCAACTGAAAGTGCAGGTTCAGGCTTTAGAAGCTGCAAATCATCACAACAATTAAGAATAATTCTCGCTCTTTCTCCTGTCTCATGTCTTTCCAAAGTGCCTGGAAAACAAGAGTAGGAATAAAAATCTAAGCAAAATATTTATCCTCTTATCCTCGTAGAATAAAAAGACAGAACACAAAACACTCTTAACTGAAGAATCGCAATTCTTTAAGTTATCATGCCTGATTATCTTCTTGCAACCCAAAACAAACCAGCCTGGGAGATTTTTCTAAATTATTCAAATCACCCTCTCCCAAAGTGAAATTAAAGACTTGAAAAGCTTGTCTTCCTTCGTATGCTTTTTGAACTGCTGAAATCAACAAGACATTCAATAGTCTTTAACAGTGAAATCTCTTATTTATTATACAGTATGCAAGTGATCAATAACAAAGAGCCATGGAATATTTTGGTGCTGTCCCCTAGTGTTCCAAATCACAAATAACAGAGTCAATAGTAGTCGGCTTGGACACCAGGTTGACAGTGTTTCTGTTGGTAATATATAATTTGAATGATTGGGATAAATAGGAATACAGATGTTTTGTTCTTTTTCCTGTCTCATGTCTTTCCAAAGTGCCTGAAAATGCCTCACCACTTTGGTCATTGCAGTTTTTATTGTTGGTATGTTGTTATTATATCTGTTATGTTTTATTTCTTATATTTTTAGAAGGGAAAATAAATCCCTCGCCCTCTGATATTCTTCCAGTTCCAGAAGGGGTGCTGGCAAGTCCAAATGAGAGTTAAAAAGGTGCTGGCAAGTCCCAGCTCCTTTAAAATCTAATGGTAGTGCAGGGGTGGGAAACATGGAAACTAATTTGCTGCAATATTTAAAAGGACAAGCATAAAATAGAGCAAAAGTGTCAGAAAATAATTAACAGATAGTTGTATTTTTACAAAATATGATACCATGCTCTCAGGAAAAACTCAATCAATGAAATAATCATGACCTCTATCTCATGAGTTCATTTGCCTTATTAGTACTATAACACATTTTCCTCCAAATGAATAAAAATGCTAAGGGAATAAACTTGATAAACAATACCTAAATATAGATTTCATATACTCCTTTTCTACTGCTGAGAAAGGAAGCTATGTTATTTAAGGAGAAAGATTATTAATTGTTATTGATGGTAATAAGAGAATATTAACTAAAAAATTACAATAAGAAAATAGTAATATATACTATAAACCATGATGGCTTCAGATAGGTAGATAGTTTTGAAGATTAGAAATCCCAATTCTTCCTTATTTCTCCTTCTTTCTTTCAAATTCTTCCTTTGCAGAAACTAAACTACCATTAGTTGGTATGTTGGATTCTGAACCAGTAATAGCTCTATACTAATCTTGCAGACAGAATTTTAGTCTTGACTCTAACAATATTTTCTCTTATAATTTTTCTATATTCATGAATCAACATCTTTAAAATATAAAACTTATAGACATTCTCTTAAGCTTTCATTTTATATCAAGATTGATATTTTCAAAAAAGGAAGCTGGCTCAAGAATGAGAAAACTTCCTCAAACCAAAGATACTGGTTATTACAGCTTCCTTTAAAATTATTGCATTCAAGAACTTTTAACTATTTCACCTGTAAAATTCACCATCTTTCTAAGAAGTCTCAGTTGGAACACAGGGTCAGATATTTTCTTCTCATAGGTTTTCTGCAGTTCATCAAAACATGATGTTTTAAAAATATTTCAAGATTTTCTTTTTTTTGACAGGGTCTTGCTATGCTGCTCTGGCTGGTGGACACAGACTCCTAAAGCTCAAGCAATCCTCCTGCCTTAGCCTCCCTTGTGGCTGAGACAGAAGTGCACCACCATGCCCAACTTTTGAGGATTGTTGAAAAATAATTTAATGCACTTTAACACATGGCTCATGTGCCTTATACTATATACGTATAAGGCACATTTATGTATTGATATGGTTTATTTTATACTATCTTACACAAGTACAACTATTTCTTATAATTCTTGCATTTTTCAGTAATGACAATAGCTCACCTAGAAACTTGTATTCACACACAGATAACTAATCTGCTCCAACATCTACTCTGCTATTTACAGTGACAAATGTTAACAATGTTTTGTAAATAAGAATGATTCAGACCAGGAGTACTTGGAGCTCCCTTAAAATCTAATAATAGTACAGGAGCAGGAAACATATATAAAAACTAATTTGCTACAATATTTAAAACAAAAAAAAAACATGCTATTTTCACTAATAAGTAAAAATCTCTCATTCTAACAAAATATTAAACATTCGACTTTGTGAGTAACAGTTTCTATTATGATTAATTATAAAATATTTGAAATATTATGGATATTATTTTGTTTCAAAGAACCAATTTAAGCACAAATGTGACATAATGAGTGTTAGAGTCAATTTCTTTAAAAGTTATAGAGACAAATTTAAAAAGCAACATATTCAAAACAGTAATTTGATTTTGCAATAAGTCCAACACAATAGCTTTTGAAAGCCCTTAGTCAAATTCTGATAACGGTTAGAGATTCCCATGTGTGTTAGTTATCATTTTATTGTCCCCAAATTAGTTCCAAATTCACCCTTTATTACCTCCTCTGGGAAAGTGGATATGAATTCCATGGATATTTTTCCTTTAGTGGATAGTGCAATGTGAACCTTTATGAATAGAGATTGATGGAAAGGTCTAGCAGAGGAAAGGGTTTTTCCTTCTTGGTTTGGTGTTCTCTCTTGCAGCAGAGCTTCCCAAGCACCAAGTAGCTTCCTTTGTCACATTCTTTGGGCAGTTCTGTAAACTTATTAGTGTTTCTAATAAGACAACTTTCTGTAAACCGCTCTAGCTGGCACCTTAGAGGGCATATTCCTAGAAAGTTCCACCAACACCCCACCATGGCAGCTTCTCTGCCATCTAGTAACAATATCTGTACCTTCTTCAGCAACGTCAGGAGCTTAGCCTTGGTTGGGGGTGTGGGGGTCTCTTCCTTGGTCAGGCTATCTCAGTTCTAGGACTAGAAGTTGTTTTTTTAAATCTGCTATTCCTATATTATTTAGAGTTCTTTTTAATTCTTACTAGCCCTTTTTTTCACATGAAAATTCTTTGTGATAGTTTACAATCCTTTATGTGAAATTTTCTCCTTAAATCACTATGTCACTTCTCCGCCCTGAGTAGATCCTGATGGATATGCCCAGATAAATAACTTCTGATGCAGAATGTTCCGTTAACTATATTATGCTATTCATGGAATTTATGCTACTTCAGGGATATAGTTAAATTGTTAGAGGGAGTCTATAGCTACAACACAAACAAGGAGGAAGGGCAGCACCATAAGGAGGAATGTTGGCAAGGGATGCTTTTGCATCTTTTTTTGCACTGAACAAGAGACAGAGTTGCTGCTTCCTGAAGTTACAGAAATACCAGAAACTGAAGGTTTGATTATTTAATTCAAGTTCTAATTTAAAAACAAAAACAAAAACAAAAAACCATTTGCTTCCTAAAGTTAACTTAATGATAATTAGAATAGAATTTAACTTATACTTAGCCATTGGAATCAGTTTGAACATGATCAGAAAAGATGTCGAGACATGTAGGAGTGAAGCATTCCTAAAAGTTACGATACTATCTCTTCCCTCCAAGTAGATGTGTAAAAACACCATAAACTCTATCTGGTCATTGCATAAAATGTTTTTTAGTAAATAGTTTATATTTTCTATTGTTTATTTTATTAATATGAGTTTTGATACAATTTATTTTGGTTCTAAGCTATTCCCTGAAGATCGTGGCACTCAAAAAATTATAGTTATATTGTGTGCATGTACTAATATGTAACAATATGTAAGTATTGTGTACAAATATAATGCACCAAAGAAAAAGAAAAAAAGTCCCAGGTATTGAGACCCTTTGGATTTAGGATTTTTAGATTAGGAATGCTAAATTGGTAAAGTCTATAAAAATATTTCCCAATTTAAAAATATATATAAAATCTAAATTCTGGTCTCAAGCATTTTGGGTAAGGGATATCCAACCTATGATACATAAGAGAAAGGAGATAATCATAAGAAAAGAGAGCTTAGAACACTTAACATCCTGATAAGCAATTCTGGATCAAGTTTTACTGATCCAAAATTGGTTACCCCCCAAAAAGTCAGTGCATAAAAACAGAAGGACTGTCAAGATCCTGAACCCGTATGGACAATATTTTCACTTGTATATCTGCTTTCACTGTCATTTCAACACATCTAATAGCATCCATTAAAAAAATGTTTTAAGTTATAGCGTTCTAGTGGCCATGTGGGCAGCCCTGTGTCTAGCAGACGTTTTCTCTGTCCATCAAGATGGACACCAAGGTGACCTTGCAACAGGGTGGTTCAGAGCAGACTATGGCTCCCCACTGCTCTGTACTGAAATACTCAGTTCACTCTTACAGGATGTAAGGCCTTCAGCAAGTTATTTTACATTTCTATGCCTCAGTTTCCTCATCTGTTTAATGGGGATAAAAGTAATTCCTACCTCACAGATTACTCAGAGGATTAAATTAAGTAAACATTTGAAGAGAACTTAGAGGTTTGGCATACAGAGATCAAGTGTTGTGCTATAAGACAGTGCCCTTTGTTACATGAGAGTTTCTCAAACTTACCTTATGGGTTTTTAATAAACCACCTTGGCTCTCTGGCTCTGAAATTTGCCTGAATCCAGCCCTGAGGTCACAGGGATATGAAGCTTGGGCTCCCCATCCTTCTTCCTGAGACTTTTACCTTTATAATCAGCCTTTCTCAACACACTAGGTTATAATCAAATTAAGGGTAGGATTACAAATTTGACTTATTTTTTCATCCTTCTCAGTATATTAGAATGGGGTTTGGAATAAATTAAAGGCTAAATGGCACTCTTTAATGGATTATATGATCAGTACTACAAAGATTTTTTTTTTCTCTTCTATGGCTACACTTCCGATTATAATTGAACTCCTAACCTACAAGTTTTATTCTCACCTCCACTTTCTTCTATGTCATCCTCCCCTTGTGCATAAATTAGGTTTTCTTTTATTTTTCCCTCTAGAAAACAAACAAATCCTTCCTCCT